AAATTTAGAGCAGGATCAGATAGGAAATAAGATGGAAAAGGATGAGGAGAAGGGTAGTGGATAGATCAAGACAACTGGAGATGTCGATTGACATTACATTTGAATAGTTGGAGATTATAGCTCTCAGGGAAACTGGAATAGGGAAGGAGTTCCAAAGGCGAGAGGTGCGAGATATGAAGCTATATGTAGAAGATATGGCTACATTTAGTAGTTTCGACAGTGAAAGGGTGAGAGCGGGATGCCAGCCTCGTAGGGCGCTTGAACTCATAGAGCCTGGGAACCAGCGAATGCAGCTCCTTGGAGCAAATGCCATGAAAATATTTGTAAAACAGACAGAGAGAGGCGACGGCGCGTCTGTGAGAAAGTGACTGTAGACGAGATGCCAGAGCAGGGCCAATTATATATATTAAAAAATAAGAATGCCGATAAATACTTCATCATTTGTAAAATAGCAGGACAGACTGGGTTCTATAGCCTTGGATGGCAACTTGGATGGTCTAGGAGAAGGACAACTCTGAATTCAAAACCTGCGGAGGGTCGTTTGGGAACTTTGTGGCATTCGGTGCACCAGGTCTCTGTATTCGTCCCTTCAAAAAGTGTGGATGGTCCTGCACGAGGCCTTCACCACTATAATCAAATCTCATGTGCCGGTGTCGGGCTGTCGGTTTCCTGGAAACTGATCTGCTTGACCCTCATACGTCGAATCTCGACGGGAGAGTCGATTATATATATATATATATATATATATATATATATATATATATATATTAAAATATATATATATCGATTTAATTAACAAAAAAGAATAAATTTTATTTAAAAAAGGGTTTAATTTATCCGTTATATTCGTACAAAACATGATATATACCTTATTTTTATTATATTTCACAACTTATAATTATAAATAAAAATTTTATTTAAAATAAATTGTTACTAAAATAACAATAATACAATAAATATTCTTTGTATATATATATATATATTTTTTATATATATATATAATATATATATATTCTAATTATTCTAAAAGCTGGGCAAATTGTTTGAGATATGATGAATATTAAAAACTGATTCCATATTTTTCTAGTTTTGGTTACAAATGAATTTATTATGAATATAACTAATAAACTTTTTTAAAATTTTGATTCCAAATTTCTCTCTCTATGCAGAAATTGTGGTTCTCCGTGGTTTTGAAAGATTCCGAAATATCAATATGAATTTGTTCCTTTTTTGAGATTGAATTAAAATGAAGATAGTTTGAAATGTATATTTTCTGAAAATGGTTCTATAAACGAAAAGGTTTTAGGTAATTTACAGTCGTAGTCGTCGTTTTATGATTGAAGAAAAAATATATATAAGAAGAAGAAAATAAAAAAAGACCTGAAAGAAAAGAAAGAAAGAAAAAAAATTTAAAATTGTTAATTTATTTATTATTATATTAAATATATGGATAAATTTCTTAGTTTATGATTCCATTTACATTATGATGATCCGATAATTTCAAACAGACATGAAATTATTATTTATTTATAGCCGACCTTTCAGAATACGTGTATTCATCTATGTTAAATCTATTTTGAGATATTGTTGAATTAAGAAAGACTAACCAAGAAGGAAATAATTATAAAAAAAATGAAATTATGTATTATGGTGTACCATTTATATTTCTGAATCTATAACCTAGTTATTCTCAAGTCAGTATATTTTTGAAACTGAGAAAAATCATCTCCAGCTCTCTATATATTATCGTCTATTAAATTATATAAAAAATTGTTAAACATTACTTAAAAATATATTTTTAAAAAAATATTATTCTGTGTGATTGAAATATATAAATTTATTTGTGAATGTTACTTTGAATGAAAATTTTAATGATTTTAAAAATGGAATTTTCAAAAATTCTTTAAAATTAAAAGAAAGATGTTATTATAAATTCACAGCAATTTTTTAATAAAAATTTGAATATCATTTCACAATCTAAATATTTAAAAACGAGAAGGATCTCCATTCCAATGGAAGGAGTTTCAAATTTTAATAGCATAATTTTAAGACTTGATTTTGTTTATTTTATGTTTTTATGTCTTTATGGATCATATCGAAAAAAGGAAAGACGCTTAAAGACTCAATTAAAATGTTGATCAAAAATATATGTTTGATATATAATAATACTACTATATTTTTTTCGTTTGATTTTTTTTTTTTTTTTTTTGTTTTAAAATTATTTTTTATTATTATTAAACTTTCCTAAATCATTGTTAGAAAAAAATGACAAGAAAACAAAACATTGGAAGAAACTGTTGACCCAAGATATGATTTCAATTTGTTTGGCAAAATAAAGAAATTTGTTTAAAAACTGTTTTCTTTAAGGTATTTATAATATTGTTGGTAAAATTCCGTTTTGTGAAATTCCTAAAATTTTAACTTATTTGTCGAGGTTTTTCTGATTTTTTTTTGTGGCCTCAATTAGAGGCAATATTAATAAATTATATAAATTTTTAGTATTCATATATATTATATAGCATATTTTTTAAAAATATTTAAATATCAAAATTTTTTAAAAATGACTGACACAATCCAAATTTATAATATTTACAAAATTTTAACCATTTAAAATTCCCAGTCTTTTATTTCAATAAATGAATATTAAACCATTTTTATATAACTATATTCATCAATGAAGAAAAGAAATTTTAATTCTTGGTATACTACTATTTGTAAGTTTCCCCACATTAAACCTAAACTTTTTTTGACATATTTCTAATCTGTAGGGAAACTAATCCAACCATCATAAATTTTAAACTTAAAATTTTTTTTGAAAAATAATTGTTTATTGTTTTTTGGATGATGAGAAATGTTGAGTTTAAATTTTTTTTCACGAATTATAGTTAAAACCCAAATCAAAGAAAAATATATTTCAATTTGTTGGGTTTTCAGGAAGGATCGATTTTATATTTTATTTTTATTTTATAAACCTTTTGTTTAAATGGAATTTTTTTTAAACAATGTAAAAATTTAATAGAATCTTCTAAGGATGAATGAATTTCCCTCTTGCGCATATGTATTCTGCAATCAACGTAAAGTTTTGTTGAAATTGAATTAATGTCTTGTGAAAATTTGATCAAAATATCGAAATTCTATATAAATAACGTATAAAAAACACAGATAAAAAACTTGGAACATAATAATCTTAGTTATAATTTACATTTTAATTTATAATTATCGCATCTCTTTTTTCGTTTTTTCTAAATTGTTTAGAAGCAAACAAGAGTTTTTACAATTTTCAGAGATTCCATATCAGAATCTTGAGGGATATAGTTTTATTACCATATTTTATAGATCTATTAAATGACACATAAATAAATGAAAATAAAAAACAAATCAATATCAATAAATATAAACGAAATCAAAGAAAATGAATAGGTAGTGTTCAATAAACCAAAAAAAATGGAGTTCCAAAATACTGCCATCAACTTTGGATAATATGTATAGATTCACAAGATCTGAAAGAAAAAATTAAATGAAGGGGTGAATTTTTTAAACCTCAATTTTAAATAAACTTATCAAAAATATGTTCTATTTTATCAGACCATAAATATGAATGGATGATCATTGTGTTAATTCATAAAAAAAATGTGTTTCCAAAAATCCAATGTCTGTGTGGTTATGTATGTCTCAAAAATGAAAAATCATTTGGATCAGATAACTAATGCCTTTATCAAATGTGTCATGTGTGGGCATTAATTTTTTTTAAAAATGAAATTGTTAAAAATTTTTCTAAAATAATGCGTTTTTAAAATGTTTATGTATGTGTCTGTTTAATGAATGTAAAGTTGTTTAAATATGTAATCTGTTTGTGGGCAAATTAATCAATTTGGTCATTTTTTGCTTGTGGGCATGAAATGTCAATGTATCAAAAAATTTATTTATATGGCATAATGTTACAAAACCATGATTTTCTCGCTTTTATTGAACATGAAATTTTAAAACAGAATTTCAAAAAAATTGACAATAATTGACGTCTTGGCAAATGAGAGAATTTTTTTGGAAAAGGCTTTTGATGGTATCAATTTAAATACTGTTCGTTCATTTTATTCATTTTTCTTTAACGTCGAATATTCTAATTTTAATAGAAAAAATATGATAAAAGGAAATAAACATTTTAAAAAAAATATAAAATTTATATATATATAAAATCAAAAAAAAGAAACAGGAAACTGGTTAATAATGTTCGTAGTATTTATTTTTAATATAAAATGACATACAAATTATATTAATATATTTTCTTTCTTTTATTATTGACGTTCTTCTATTTTTTTAATGGTTCTTAAGGATTAGCGAAATGGCATTTTAAAGCTTTGTGAGTACGTAAAATTAAGCCGGTAATAAATACAAAAAATTAATGGAGATGCTGTGCGAAAAGAACAATTTTTTGTATTCTTTGAAAATCGAGAGCGCCGAATTTAGTTAAAAGTTGCATTCGATATATTCACAATACGTAGAAAATCTAATTCCATTATTACCAAATTGTTCACAAATTATTGGGTTTCAAATTCTTGTAATTTTATCAGTAAAATTTGTTAATATTTTCAAAAAAACGTTTACAATCTAAACGGATCTTTATTTAAATTCCTGCATTTAGGTTGATTTTTTTCATATGTGGTAATCATTATGTCTTTCTCAATCAATAATTCTTATTGTTATTGAGCATATATATATATATTAAAATATATATATAAATTTTTTAACGTGTGCTATATTTATTATAAGTGAAATTGTCAATATCAGAGATAGGATATCTTTTCGGAAAAATAAATTTGTGGGATATTGAAAAAAAAACATAGATTGAATTTAATTATTTAAAATTCAAATGATTTCTATTTATTTTGAGAAAATTATTTATTCACCACATTTTGCCTTTCACCTGAAGAAGATAAACAATGTAATGTCGAAACATTGTTTATATTTAGCATTTCAACATGTTTTATAATATAATATGCTATAATAACGCAATGATGTTTTCTACTATGTATTGATATATTTAAAAAGTAAAATACGAACACCGGAATTTTACTTCATCTGTTATTTTCCCAAGGTTTCATATATATATATATATATATATATATATATATATATATATATATTGTTGAGGGGTCCAGAAATTTTTTTACACAAATGGACTCACCAGAAGTATATACATATACTACTGCTACGTGAAAGCAAACAGAAAAACAGAGCAAGAGAGCAAGACCGAAGAATCGAGTCTAGTCCAGAGTAACAGAGTAAAAGGTTGTAGGTAACCGGAAGAGTGAGGGTGAGGTAACAGCGTTGTAGGAGTCACAGTGAGCGAGCACGTAGACTCAGTAAGATATATATCATACAGCGATACTTCAATACCTAAAAGACTGTATATATATTTTGCTACTAACCCGTATTCCTGGAACTACTAACCTGCTGTTTTACCAGTTTGTATTATTACGTTAATACATTATTTATATATATTCATTCTTGGCGTTTGTTATTTACAACTCTGAATTCAAAACCTGAGGGGGGGTCGTTTGGGAACCTTGTGGCATTCGCTGCACCAGGTCTCTGTATTCATCCCTTCAAAAAGTGTGGATGGTCCTGCATGAGGCCTTCACCACTATAATCAAATCTCATGTGCCGATGTCGGGCTGTCGGTTTCCTGGAAACTGATCTGCTTGACCCTCATACGTCGAATTCGACGGGAGAGTCGACTTATATATATATATACATATATATATATATATATATATAAGTCATTACTTCTCTCTCTCTCTCTCTCTCTCTCTATATATATATATATATATATATATATATATATATATATAAGAGATATCCTTCTTCTTTATTTTCTTTATTCATTCACTTCACGTCTTCTCAATATATACAAGTCTCAGGAAAAAGTCACAGGTAACAAAAAATTCACAGGTAGAAAAGGAACAGGGTAAGGTTAGCACCCAGCGGACAAAACCCCAGCGGATATAATCCACCTCTTATCCCAAAAGTGGACAAAATCCCAGTCTCATAAATAAATTGAAAATTCAAGGAACTTTTGATTCAAATTTTAATGTCAAATTGAAACATTCTTCACATAGAGTCGGGTCTTAGGACTCCTCATTTAAATATATCGAATGTAGAACCGTAGCATTGTTAAAAAAACTTTTTTGACGGTTTACTATTTTCGTATCGTGTACGATCTTCGTGGTTTGTTTACGTATGAGAGCAAACTTAAAAAAACACCTTAAGGCTTTCTTCACATAAAGTCTGGTCTTATTTGATACTATGACTCCCTAACTAAGAAATATATCGAATATGTGATCGTAGCTTGGTTAGAAAACAAATCTTTTTAGATCCATTATGAATTTCTATTGCAAACCGTGCAGACCCATAAACTCTACCTAAATTTAGTCTTATGCGATACTAGGACTCCATAACTATGAAATATGTGACCGTATCATTGTTAGAAAAAAGTGTTTTTTTAGGCTTCATCTATTTTCGTATAAGTTCTCCGTGGTTTGTTTACGTTTTGGCAGGAAACACTTTCCCAATGTTTTCTTCACATAAACTCGGGTCTTATGGGATACAAGAACTTCCTAACTATGAAATATATTGATTATGTGACCGTAGCCTTGTTAAAAACATTTCAAGGCTTCTTATTATCTTCATATCTCCGTGGTTTGTTTAATTTTTGGTTCAAACTTTAAAAAAAAACCGCCCTTTGTAGAGTAGAGGCGGAATTGAACAGTATAAAATCAAAGGAGCAAATGACAAAATTAAACACACTGCGCAAGGGCTCTGCGCAGTCTTCCGGATTTCAAACATATGTTATGATTCATAATAAGGATATTTCATCATTCGAGAAATAAAGATCTGAAACTTCATCATTCTAAAAACGACATTTCCACCAGTAATGAAGTCCTTCTTTGTCGCATTTATTTCTAACAGTAATAATATCTTTTTCACATAAAAAAAAACGATTGAAGTCACAGATGTATGGTTCTTTGTCGGAATAAGCTCCAAAAAGCAGCAGTTCTTAGGAAAAAACTATCTAAATTGAACTTCTTCCTTACAATTGGAATATCAAGTGAATAAATGTCGTTGGACCTTGTAGACGCAGCATAGCGGGACTTAACTTTAAAGGCTTGAATTGGTGGAACTAAAGAATGGAACTCTTTTTTCCATGGAAATAGTAATAAAGTAACAACAGGCTTTTAACGTTTCGTTTGTGGAAAGCATCTACAAGACGGGGAAAATATATCAACTCACTCCACAAGTCCGCGGAAAACGGTTTTGGACTCCACCTAGACTGGAAAGTGAAGATTGGGCAGGAATGGTAGCAATAGTCCCTTTTTGGTCTAATTTGACTCTTTTAAAGATAGAGTAGAGTAAAAAGAATCAGGCACATTCCTGAAATGGTGTTAATTGGTTCCAGTGCGAAAGACAAGTAAGAAGGTGTTAATTGGTGCCAATGCAAAAGACAATTGAGAATTGGTTATTTGGAGCCAATGTGAAAGAAGCAGTTATTAAGTTAACTGAAATACCTTGTGCATTGACAACTTTGTCAAAATCGTGGTTGCTCACGGATCTTGATACTGTCGTACCCCGAATCTCTAGTTGCGGATGGGTATTGATAGCACGGGCGAACGTCGATCGACGGTTTCCCGATCGGGTCACTGTGTTGGGCAGAGTCACTGGATTGTAATTTGGTGAGTTGATCCTCTGTTGTACGTCGGGAAATATCGCCTGTGACTGTGCAGACTGCATGGGCGAAGAAGCCTTCTGCTCGGATGTTTCTTTCCAGATCAGGTAGAGGTTTCCCACTTTGATCAGTTCTTGGCCGTCCTCCTGCCGATGGATCGCTGACATTGAGAGAATCTTCAAGACAGATTCCCTGAGTTTGGTAGTGGAATCAGTTCCGAATATCAGGTGGAAGGAGACCGAAGCTGGAATTTCCCTGAATTAATTGAACATTTAGAAATTATTCTTATAGCATTTATGAGTTTATATAAAAAAATATACACCAGGTGGACACGTAAAAAATTATATCTCATACGTATATCGAAAAGAATTTATTTCTTTGTTATGTATTGATGGAAAGAATGATATCATTAGTAGGATTTATTTATCTCAATTATCATTTAATTATAGCGATGCATTGTGATTGTTACTATGGAAAAATTATGTTTGATATCAGAATGTATCAGAAACTAATTTTTACTGTGGGAATGCATTGCCATGATTTTTACTATGGGAATGAATTGCCAATGATTTTTACTATAATATTGCATTGACAATGATTTTTACTATAATATTGCATTTGCCAATGATTTCTACTACAGGAATGCATTGCCAATGATTCTTACCATACGAATGCATTGACAATGATTTCTACTATAGGAATGCATTGAAAATAGGTTTTACTATAGAAATGCATCGCCTATGATTTTTACTATGGGAATGTATTGGAAATGATTTTTACTAGAGGAATGCATTGCCAATGATTTTTGCTATAGGAATGCGTTGCCAATGATTTTTAGTATAGGAATGCATTGCCAATGATTTTTACTATAGGAATGCATTGGAAATGATTTTTACTATAGGAATGCATTGCAAATGATTTTTACTATAGGAATGCATTGGAAATGATTTTTACTATAGCAACGCATTGGAAATGATTTTTACCGTAGGAATGCATTGGAAATGATTTTTACTGTAGGAATGCATTGCCAATGATTTTATTATAGCTACTAGATTTTTTCATGTGCCTTAATCTGTTAATGAAAATTTAAAATATAAGAATTTAAGCCGACACCTAGAATGATACTGGAATGAGTGAATTGAAAAGCTGGTCGGAATTAGATGTCGGTGAACCAATTTCAACTGCTTTCGTTACATTCACTTCTGCGAAAATACCCCTGAGAATGCTATGAATCTATCTCCTCTGCTCTTAACTATGGGTTAAATAGTAGGATTTGTATCTGGAAAAAATCACTGCTATCTTCGAAAAACTCTTGATGCAATATTGACTCTTAAAGGAAAAAAAGAATTTATTTTTGCAATCAAAAATGTTCTGTCTTTAAATAGTATATTAAAGGTTGATAAACCGTAAAAAGTAGAAGAATGATATTGTGATACCTAAATCGATCCTTGATAAAACAAGCGTAACACATGATGAAGAAATATAATTCATATGTATGCGTGTGCAATATACTAAATTTTAAGAAACATTTTGACTATCATAGCAAAGTTTTAATAGTTCAAGTTTTTTAAGTAGCTAGATAAATGTAACTATGAACGAATTATATGATTTGGAAAAAAAGTAAATATAACCTTGTGTGTTTATTAGTAAAAAGATTGATGGTCTTACTTGAATGTCTCGACTTGACAACCTTTGAAAATCTGGGCCAGGTGAGTGTGTCTGAAATATCTGCCAATCTGGAATAATTAATGTGGTAATTATAATTTCAAAAAAAAATATTTGTCAGTGATTTTAATATAACAATCTGATATAATGATTACTACATATACTAGAGTATCATGCGATCTTTAAAGACCTAATTTTGAAACTAATTTGATTACAGTAAATGGATATAATGTTTCGTCAATACTGGTGGAATTCTTTCAAAAATATTCTCTCAAAAATTTTGAAACTACCATCATCTATCGTTTTGTGCGCATGTGTAGACATGACAACATGAACAAAACCCGGACCTATGAAATCCTAATTAATTACAATAGATCTCAACGGTTGAACTAGCGGAGGCATTGCCAATGATTTCTACTACAGGAATGCATTACCAATAATTTTTACTATAGGAATGCATTACCAATAATTTTTACTATAGGAATGCATTGCCAATGATTTTTACTATAGGAATGCATTGCCAATGATTTTTACTATAGGAATGCATTGCAAATGATTTTACTATAGGAATGCATTGCCAATGATTTTTACTAGAGAAATGCATTGCCAATGATTTTTACTATAGGAATGCATTGCCAATGATTTTTACTATAGGAATTCATTGGAAATGATTTTTACTATAGAAATGCATTGCCAATGATTTTTACTATAGGAATGCATTGGAAATGATTTTTACTATAGGAATGCATTGCCAATGATTTTTACTATAGGAATTCATTGGAAATGATTTTTACTATAGGAATGCATTGACAATGATTTTTACTATAGAAATGCATTGCCAATGATTTTTACTATAGGAATGCATTGGAAATGATTTTTACTATAGGAATGCATTGCCAATGATTTTTACTATAGGAATGCATTGTCAATGATTTTTACTATCGGAATTCATTGGAAATGATTTTTACTATAGAAATGCATTGCCAATGATTTTTACTATAGGAATGCATTGCAAATGATCTTTACTATAGGAATGCATTGTCAATGATTTTTCTTATAGGAATTCATTGGAAATGATTTTTACTATAGGAATGCATTACCAATGATTTTTACTATAGGAATGCATTGCCAATGATTTTTACTATAGAAATGCATTGCCAATGATTTTTACTATAGGAATGCATTGCCAATGATTTTTCCTATAGGAATGCATTGCCAATGATTTTTACTATAGAAATGCATTGCCAATGATTTTTACTATCGGAATTCATTGGAAATGATTTTTACTATAGAAATGCATTGCCAATGATTTTTACTATAGGAATGCATTGCAAATGATCTTTACTATAGGAATGCATTGTCAATGATTTTTCTTATAGGAATTCATTGGAAATGATTTTTACTATAGGAATGCATTACCAATGATTTTTACTATAGGAATGCATTGCCAATGATTTTTACTATAGAAATGCATTGCCAATGATTTTTACTATAGGAATGCATTGCCAATGATTTTTCCTATAGGAATGCATTGGAAATGATTTTTACTATAGGAATGCATTGCCAATGATTTTTACTATAGGAATGCATTGGAAATGATTTTTTATAGGAATAGGAAATGATTTTCATATAGGAATGCATTGCCAATGATTTTTACTATAGGAATGCATTGAAATGATTTTTCCTATAGGAATGCATTGAAATGATTTTTACTATAGGAATGGAATGATTTGCATTGGAAATGATTTTACTATAGGAATGCATTGCCAATGATTTTTCCTATAGGAATGCATTGGAAATGATTTTTACTATAGGAATGCATTGCCAATGATTTTTACTATAGGAATGCATTGGAAATGATTTTTACTATAGGAATGCATTGCCAATGATTTTTCCTATAGGAATGATTTGATTTATCCTATAGGAATGCATTGAAATGATTTTACTATAGGAACTAAAATGAGAATGAATGCATTACCATACACTAAAAATTTTTTTACTATCGGAATTCATTCCTAAATGATTTTTCCTATAGGAATGCATTGCCAATGATTTTTACTATAGGAATGCATTGGAAATGATTTTTCCTATAGGAATGCATTGCCAATGATTTTTACTATAGGAATGCATTACCAATGATTTTTACTATAGGAATGCATTGCAAATGATTTTTACTATAGGAATGCATTGGAAATGATTTTTACTATAGAAATGCATTGCCAATGATTTTTACTATAGGAATGCATTGGAAATGATTTTTACTATAGGAATGCATGGCCAGTAGTTTTTACCATAGGAATGCATTGCCAATGATTTTTAGTATAGGGCTACGCCTGATGGACATGCTACAGATGGCGACACTGGAACCTATAATAGTCAGCGGGGGTCCGTTGCAGTTTTATTACTGGATTATGCATGTTTCATTCCCTATGTGCCACATAGGAAGGTCATGAAATTATGTGTGTGGGTCCATCCCTGGCAAGCTGAAGTTCACCTTCAATAAATTTACGCCACTGGCACTTTCTTCTACTTTGGTTTTCTTTCACCTCCAACCAACTCTTGCAAAGCTAAACGGCAATAGAAAATGAATCATGGGAGCAAGTTTTGGTGAAACTGGAGACTTCTACTCCAGAAGCTGCACGTTGGCTGCGAATTTCATTATCAAGTCCATCATCAAGGACGCGATCATTAAAAAAGAAATTAAATTCTTAGTTAAGAAATAAAGCCGACAATGAAATATATACGTATACTTATGTCTGTGTGTTTCATAGATCTGGGAGGGGCTGTAACACTTGTGGAAAAATTTCAGTCTTCACATACGATTTCAGGCCATGAGGATAAAGGGAAAAAAATGCATTAAAAATAGTAAGGCTTCATCTGCCTAAGCTGAAGGGGGATAACTGGAGTCAACGTAAAGGATAAAGGCCTTACCGACTGACAAAGTGGTGTGGAGTAGCTTTTGAAGGCCTCTGAAGTCGCGTCGACAAGGTCTTGCACGTAAGTAAAATTGTGTAGATTAAACTGCAGCGGTAATACAACGGCATCTGTGAATAAAGATTATAAAATATTATGTATGAACTATGAAACCACGGAAAGAATTTTATTATTGTTTGAAAATGTTTTGCATTTTTATGAAGACATATATTGTATATAGATTACACTAAAAGCAGAAATAAAATGCGTCCGCGCATTATGTTATAATAAAAATGAATTAAAAGGTTTAAAAAAATAATTTAGGAAAGCATTGTAAAAGATTTTATTAGAGGAATGCATAGCGAATGATTTTTACTATAGGAATGCATTGGAAATGATTTTTACTATAGGAATGCATTGTCACGACTTTTACTAGAGGAATGGATTGCCAATGATTTTTACGATAGAAATAGATTGGAAATGATTTTACGATAGGAATACATTGGAAATTATTTTTACTATGGGGTTGCATTGCAAATGATTTTTACTATAGGAATGCATTGCAAATGATTTTTAATATAGGAATGCA